CAATATTATCTTGTATTAGTTTCAGGTGTACAGTTTCAGGTTAGACAATCAGAATTGATTGACTGTATCAGAAACCATATCTCACCATTTGACCCTTTACAGAAAAAAAATTGCTAACCCCAAATAGAGAATAAAACATTAAGACCATAGTAAAATCACTAAAATCTTCTCCCCAAAACTAGACTCACACTATTCATTACGAAAATGCAAACAAAAACCGGGTATCTTTTCATACCTATGCAATTAATAAGATATGGGCAAAAGGCAACTCTCCCGTCCGGATGAGTGGACATACACCGGTGCAACTACTCTGTGGAATAATTGGCAACATCTAGGAAGACAAGGCTATGCGTATCATATGATGCAGTAATTCCACTTCCAGGTATACACCCCTGGAAAACTATCACTCAAGAAGACATTACACATCTACAAGATGTGCATTACAACAGTGCCTGGAGGAGTTAATACACGTAATAAACTTTAGACTGTTGTAATTTTAAGAAACCTTCAAATGTTTCTAGAAATTTTTGAAATAAATGTGAAGCAAGTATGACATAATGACAAACATTTGGTAACTCACTTGGCATTCTTTTCAGCATCTAAAAGAGCTTGTGTCAAATCCTGGTGGGTTTTCTCTGCTTCCTTTGTTAACTTCATATCATGTGCCCGAACCAGACACAGCTCCCTGAAATAAAGCAAAGAAATTTTATCATCATAAAGATTTCCAAAACTTTCTACCCAGCAAAATCAGATTTACACTCAGGAATCTTCACAGTTATCACTGTACATCTCTTCCTAGTTTTTCCACCTTACAAAACAAATCAATAAACCTAGTGTACATCTGGACAGAATCTTGCCAGGTTTGTCAATAGAATCAGGCTGGCTAGAAAAGGCAGAAAGAAAATGTGGGGGTATCCTCTAGAATGGGGTGAAGGTAGGCGCTGACAGGCAAGGCCTCCAGGCTGCTCTGTCCTACCCTCAGACCTGCCTATCCCACCCTCTTCATTCTTGCCACTAATATCTTGCTATGAGTTTAGGTGATCACTGACTTTGATTGCTATATAATGCTTGTTCTCTTTGGCATTTGAACCTTAACATCCATAATCAAGGCACTGCTCTGATAAACAACTCTATCTTAGATGGAAGAAGCAGATCTTTTCCCTACTGAATACACACAGAGCCCTAGTTTTGTGTTACCCTGTATAACCCATGTCTATAAATCTATATCTACATCTACATCTATATCCAGTCCTTTCTGTTCTATTGCTAAACATGAAAAGAAAACAAAAAGTCCTCACCTTTAACCATTCTACTTTCCCTGAATATTCCTGACTCACTTTAGAGACATGGTTTTGACTTTTGTTTTTAAGATAATCAGTTTTTACCTGGACAGTTCCTCAATCACACTCTTAAAATTGTACAATTCTTGCAAAATGCGCTGATCCATCAGTCGCTGAGTTACCAAGTCCTTGTAGAAGTCAATCATCTGCCGGGCAATTTGGTCAAGCATTTGTACATACCGTTCTCTGCATGATAAAGAAGGAAACCAAGACATCATGCAGAAGAAAAGGAAAAAGGAGTGAAAATACGAGAGACAAAGTGATGTTAGAGAAACGCTGGACAGGCACAAATACAGAAAAAGAAAGGGGTTCAGGCTGTGTATTCCTACTATGCTCATACACATGAATGAACCTTGGAGAATTTTAACTGGCCATAATTGGAACATCTGAGATGCAAAACAAAACAGGATGTCTTTCTTTCCCTTCTTCCAAAGTATACACTCTATCAGGGTAAGAACCAAGTCTTCCATATTTATAACATCTAACAGAGTGCCTTGAATATAGTGGAATTTTTACAAATAGTTGAATCTATGAATAAAACCATTTTCCTCAAACTGACCAAAATGTAACCACTATTTAAAAAGAAAAAAGGACCTGCCCTTGCCAGTTTGCTCAGTGGTTATCATCTGTAATCATAGACCGAAGGGTCTCAGGTTCGATTCCTGGACAAGGGAATGTACCAAGGGCAGGTACCTTGGTTACAGG